ACAGTTGTATGCTACAATGCTTTTAACACTTGCTTTTTCTCTGCTCTTTTATTATCACCAAACCACCATTGAGGTAGTTTACCCTATTGGGTCTTTAAGCACTAGGAATGAAACTGGGCCTTAAACCCATATGTTTAAGAATCATGGTACAGTATAAGATGAAACGTTTCCTTGAGCAACCAGTGCTGGCTCTGAAGAGTTAACGTGAAGGTACTAGCACTCATTTTAATGCTGTCCTGTAACATTAAATGATCTTGTAAGGAACAATGAATGAGAGATTTGAACACAGAGAGGAGAAGCAATAAAGGATGCAGGGCTTTCATTGTACTTTATGTCATACAGCATTCAGCTCAACCACATCTTGATACCCGTGCACTTATGGAAATATTGCAGTTTGGTGGTAATGTCCTAGAAACATCATGGATACTGCTACTGACAACTCTTCAGATGCATTGGTGCTGCTCGTCCTGTGGGACGCCAATTGTTCCAGTCCATTCAGTCATCTGTTTTAGTTACTGTTATTGCTTCTGATCGGTGTGCACTGATTTGGGAATTGGCTGCATGTGCATTTCTCCGCACAAAACAATCACAGAGCAGTTGGTTCTCTGGCTCTGCAGCTGCACAATGCCATAGGGATGTACAATTAATGAAGCAATCCATAACTGAGCCAATCCCGACAAACAGCATTGATCTACTATTCCCCAACACAATTCATCTAAGAAATAATAAAGTGCTCAGAAGATAAGGTTGCAATACAGTAGCTACAAGAGAAATTTAAAGAACTTTGTGTATCCTGGAAACTGGGCATTAACAAGTCAGAGAAATTATATACTAGTTGGACGTAAAGGGTGTGGAACACCTTCCTGTTCAAGTCTCCAGCTTGTTCTCTGATGGGATCCTTAATGATTACGTGATTGCAAGATGTCAGCTTGGCTTAGTTGGTTGCACTCTTGCCTCTGAGTCAGAAGGCTGTAAATCCCTTACTAAACTCATGTTGTCTGACACATCCCTTCATGCCCTGGCACCTCCCTACCTCTCCAACTTGCTTACTCCCCACTTCTCCACCTGCTGCCTCCACTTGGCTGACTCCAGTCTCCTTCTTGTCCCTTGTTCTCTCCACTCCACCAATTGGTGGCCGTGCTTTCAGCCATTGCACCACCAAACTTTGGAACTTTCTCCCTGAATCCCTTCGCCTTGTCCCCTCCTTCTCTATTTTCAGATCAGTCCTCAAGATATTCCTCTTCAGCCATCCTTAGTCACCTCCCCTCTCACCTGGCTTGGGTTCAGGCTCTGCCATTGTTAAGCTCTCCAAAATGCTTCACCACTTAAAGGGTACTATATAAATATAAATTATTGTTGTTGACACTCCATTGCAGTGCTAGGGAAATGCTGCTTTGTTGGAGGTGACATCCTTTGAATGAGATGGTAAAATTATGTCCTGTTTATTTGTTTAGGTGGTCTTTAAAAATCCCATGGCACTATTCACAATGCATTTTATATTAAATCTTGTGAAGCTCTATGCTACGTTCTCCTGATGTAAAAGGCTCTATATCAAATGCAAGAATTCATTGTTATTACCTAATGTACTAGCTCCAGTGTTTGGCAAATCCCATATCATCAGAAAATTCCTGCTATCCCTCCACTTGTTACTGTAGGCTCCCATAGAGAAATACAACAACAACTTGCATTTATATAGAGTCCCTCACGCAGGATAGCAACCCAGAGCACTTGAATCCAATGACACAAAGCCGATGACACTTCTCAGCAAAACATTCATCTTCTACTGGATGGTTAGACAGATAAAACGTTGATCAATATCCACCAGGGTAGCAGAAGGAGATTGAAAGAGAGATTTCTCTTGCGTCCTTCACAGTAATTGGGAGAGTGACGTGTGCCTTCAAGGACACCCTCAAATCCTCCAAAATCACAATACAGTATGAACCATCAGAATTTTCTGTCTGAGAGTCTGAGTGCACCCAGTTTAAACACCAATTTAATCTGTATGAAATCCTTGCAGATTTGATATGTGGAGAATGATAGGCAAACAACAATGACACATTTTTACTACACTGCCAAAATCAATTTTGATGCATTGTTTTAGTTGGAATCCATGCTAAAAGTACAGTATCAATCATGTTTTACAAGCATTGATCGAGTCCTGCTATAGGAACCATCTCCGAGAGGTAGTTTGAAAGTAAATGAATGTTATTAGCTGCAGTATCAATCCAGTTAGCTTCAAAATAAGGCCAACAGAAGGAACAGGGAATACAGGAGACGTTTGTTTCAGTGAGAGGATAAGTATGTAGAACAAGCAACCAGCACAGCACAGCTGGTGGAAGAGGAAAATAAAGAGGTTTTCAAAATGGAACTAGACAAATCCTGTCAATTAAATATATTCAGAGTTGTTTAATATTTTTTTAAAAATCGTGTCTCCAATTATTTTTCTAATTGTCCTCCTCACTGGCAAATGTTTCTGCTTGTGGTTTCCAGCCTCCCCATGTAGATTTGCAGTTCCATGGTGTTGTTTGCCCTCGGTTACCCTGCGCAAGTGAATATTTTTTAATGTGTGAACCTTTGCAGTGGATGTCAGCAGGCATGTACATGTATCACAGAGGAGCTGCCAGTAGAGGAGACAGTACTAATGCTGGGAGAAACCAGGCCCAATTTATTCTCCCCGTGGAAATCAACAAACTCAGTATGGATCCAAGATTCAAACCAGCGAGCTTCCGGTCTGTTATCTGCAGCTCTATCCACTATACCATTTTAGTTGTCCACTCCCTCCCCCCACCCCCCACCAACACCCATTAATAGTTAATATTAATAGTTAATATTGACCTATTAATATTAACTGTTAATAGTCAGTAGATATCACTGGCCTCAGATGTGAACCAAACCTCTCCCTCCCCCTTCAGATCATGGACTAGTGATTGCTGCTGATAGCAGAATATGAGTTAATCAAAACCAGCTACAATGCCTTATTTTTGCTATCTGAACCTGTGTACCGCTGTTATTACTATATCATTTTAATTTTCCCATTCTTCATGTATGCATGTCAGCAGGCTGTTCAATAATAGTCGTGTTATTGGAGTCCTGTAGCTTAGTGGTTAGAGCACTCGCCTCACAAGCGAGAGGACCTGGGTTCGATTCCCGGCAGGGCGAAATGTTAGGCATGTTTCCTTACTCCACATGCCTCTGTTTACCTAGCAGTAAATAGGAACCCAGTTGTTAGTTGATTGGAGGATCGCTTTTCCGGGGGTAATAAATCCTCCAAAAAATAATAAAAATAAATAATAATTTGGTCACTCAATCTATGACTGTTTGTGGGACACTGCTGTGTGCAATTGGCTACCGTGTTTTGCCACAAAGCATAGTCAATTCACTTTACAGTATATTCTGTGAAGTGCTTTGAGATGTCTACAAGGCGTGATAAGGCACTAAATCAAATGCAGGGTTTATTATTATTATTAATAACAGAGTGTTTTGTGGTAAACGCCAATTCTACTCTCAGTCATACTTACATGTGAAGACCTTCCAGATCACTGGATAGTGATCAGTTGAGGAAATCTTGGATGAATTTCCCCTCCCTAATCTAGGGCTCTGAGATTCATTGTAGCCTTTGCACATGTTAATAAAATAATAATCCTTGCACTTGATATAGCATGTCTTCGAGATGTCTCAAAATGCTTCATAGAATGTACTGTAAAGCGAATTGACTGTATATTTTGTGGGTGAAACACGGCAACTAATTGCACACAGCAGTGTCCCACAAACAGTCATGGACTGATGTTACCTCATTTGTGATCAACTGACTAAGTTGAACCAATACGTTGATTGTGAATCAAACCTGGGACTTACACATGGCTCAGCTCTTCACTTTAAAAACCTTGCACCAGTAGATCCCCAATTGATGTATAGTATATTTACCCCTGCTCTGATTCTGAGTAATTTACTGCTAAAGACAAACAGCTGAATAGAAACAAACATAAATAATTGATTCCCGTGCCAGTCACATCACAGTGACACAAAGAAAGCTGGTTTAGGTAAGAAACAACCAAATAAACAACTATCAAACGAGACAAAAAACACATAAAGTTATATTATAATAATATAATAATAATCCTTGCATTTGATATAGCGCTTTTCACGTCGGAAGGACGTCCCAAAGCACTTCACAGAGTACACTGTAAAGTGAATTGACTGTATATTTGTGGGTGAACGCGGCAGCCAATTGCGCACAGCAATGTCCCACAAACAGTTGTAGATTGAAAATGACCAATTTTATTATTTTTGGGGGGTTTTTTGGAGGGATTATTATTAGGTGTGTGGAGTAAGGAAACTTGCCCAAGGTTTCGCCCTCTGCCTGGAATTGAACTCAGGTCTCTCGCTTGCAAAGCGAGTGCTCTAACCACTGAGCTACAGGACTCCACTGTATTAAGAACCGTTCAAAAAATATACCTTGACAGGCAAATGAAATACACAACAGATAACATGAGATTTTTACCATTTTAGAAGGAAACATAAATATCTGAGGCTCACAATTCACATGGTCTTAGCCTTAAAACCATGCAATTACATAGACTACATCAACTAGTCAGTGATGGTGCTTATATTCCACATGAAGCTCCACCCATCCTGAACTGATCTCCTATGCTTCCTCTATTGCTTTCTTCCTCATGTATGCATCAAGTTTCATTTTAGATGTATTGATGCTCCTGGCAGTGTGTTCTGGCAGAAATATAGCATTTGGCAGTGAGTTCCACATTCTCACCTTTCTGTGTAAAGACATTCCTCCTAAATAAACTCTCATTAAACTAAACTATTTTGAGTTCTAAGATCATGAGGAATTTCAAGCCTCAGAATGTGATTCTAAACCAGTCTGCAGTTACAGGAGCGATTCTTTCACTATCAATACACCAATGGCACCATTCAACTTCCAAAATATGTGTGGATTCAGGATGGTAACCAAGATCCGTTTAAATAAATTACACTTTTTGCATATAAACCATATGAAAATTTTATTTCAAATGTCAAGCATTGCCAAGTATTTGATATTAACACCAATGTTAAGAAGAAGATATACAGGAAAGTCTTACAATATTAAATTACAAGAGTTGAATCCTTTATTCTGCGCATGTACATATTTGGCTTTCAGAAAAAACATGAAATTGATGCCTCTAGCCTTGTCACTTTCCTGCAGTTTAATTTCATTAATATTCAATTAGTATGGAAGCAGAGTTATTTAAAAGCCATTTCTTGATAGTGAAAATACTTAAAAATAGTGTACTTTTGTTTTTTTTCTTTATAAAAGATTTCACATCATAATGCAGCTGACGTCAAGTGGACACTGTGCTTAAGTCATACGAATCCAGGATTAAACAGCGGTGGCTGCAGACACAGGCGTGATGCCTCGTAAAACGTTTTGTTTCCAGTACTTCCACATGAGTTGTGCATGTCAGTCAAGCTCCATCTTCAACATTTTAATGATGGTTTTTAATTCTTTTTTTGTTTTGTGTGGTGTGTGTGTGAACAAAGCATCCCATTATTATTCAGATGAACTGGACAAAATAACAAGAATTCTTCTTGCAAAAATATCTTCACAACGCTGGATGCCTCTCACCAATCAACGATGAACTTACATCAACCATCATGTAAGGCACTCAAAGAGTCTTATCAATCAAGAAAGATCAGTCACACTGACATTCATTTCCATGCCAGGCCTCACGTAAGGTACTGCATGCACTGCTTTGGGAAATTCTGGAGTCATAACACGTCCGTTTTCTCCAGTGCTTCCTGTAATTGATAGTCTTGCTTTGCTTCTCATGGCATCACTGAAGGTCATCTAGGAAGGAACAAAGCACATGTTGCAATCGGATGATCTGAAATATTCTGGCAGACATCTGTTCAAGAATAACAAACAAACCAACCAACAAACAAAACACAACATTGAAAACAAATTCTGATGTGTGTGCCAGAAAGCCAAGATATAAATCATACAAAAGCAAAAGGTTAAAAAAGCTATGTTCTGAAAAGCTGATACAAACTACATTCAAAAGCAACAAGTCACGTTTACCATACCCATTGATACTAGAAAGATGAATGAAATACCAAATACATACGGTCCCTGGGTCAGCCTCCTCAGCAATTAGCTTTATGGATGCGACAATGAAGTTACAGCGTGCAGTTATAGTTTTAAAACAGGACCGGTTTCCTACCCCCTAAATTTTAACACTTTCGATCCCATATACGTTGTAACCTTCCTTATAAGTTGCAAAATTCTGTGAATTCTGCGAGGAAGTTGGGTTAATAGCCTGTGCATTCTTTGCCACCTTCATTCGTTTTGCCTCTGCTCTTGACTTGTAACAGAATTCAATCAAAGCCACCAGCATTGCCAAACCAAGTCCTCCAACGAGAATGTAGAAGACTCCAGCCACGTTACTCAGACTTAAAGCGCTCGTCTTCTCCTGTAATTGTATGAGGAAAAACACCTGTCAACAACTAGCTGTGAAGGAGAGAACATTCACAATGAGATGTAAATGGAAGCAGTGTGAGTGCTGAGTTTATGAGTGCTGATACACATAGCTGAGATGGAAACAGTCTATACAATACAAACTATTGTAATTGATACATTTTCAAATTTTGACTCAGCTGCAAGACTAGACATGGGTATGAAGGACAGTTTGCCTAATGGTTTGATATAAATATAGAATTTAATAGTACAGCATTCTGATTCATAACATGTAGCTTAATTCTTTAACTTGTGACTCATATTCATCTGTCTGGAACTTGGTTAGCGCTATGTTACATTGCAGTAGGTAAGTTGGTGCGTGCTCTGAATTATTTGGTGTTTGTTCTGACTTCTTGTCAGAAAGCTACCTGTGCTTCCAGCAACATTATGCTTTTTTTAATTCTGAATAATTGGAGCAGAATTAAACAATTGTGTTTGAAAGCCCTAGCCTAGCAGCTAAAAATATTAATGATTTGCACCACTAAATAACATTGGTGGTTTTAACATAAAGACGTGATTATGGCACATTTTAAAAAGAAGTTTGATCTTTTTAACAGCACTTTGAAAGGAAAAAACACCCTGCTAAAGTGAAAAACAATGTACAGTATTTATCAATTTTTTTTACTTTAAACATGCTCCCAGAATTGTACATTTTCATGCAAACACAATTTAAAATATAGAATTGTCAGAAGCATTTAAGAGCAACAGCTGTCTCTCTGATTCTTTCATTTGTCCAAATTTAACAGTGCTCAATCCATGCAATTTAACTGTGAATATATAAGTTAACATCCATTTAGTGTTGGAAGCTGCTTGGAACTGGAACTTCTACCTTAGCTTTATAACCATCAAACAGAATATAGGTTTATTAATTTCAAGGAGAACTCAGAAAAAAAATTATATCTAAAACTTGGTCTTACTTAAAAGGGGCTATGCATTTAAGTTGAACAAATCGTCTCCAAGTACATTCATTTTCCCTATGTATTTTCATGCATCACTTTACATTATTTTAAAGCGACAAAATTGTTACAGCTAGTTATGGACAGGAAATAAACAGGGCTCAGCAGCTATGCAAGCAGTTAACAATATCTTACCAAGGCACCTCATGCTTTTGTAGTTTTTCATTCAGTTATAAGCAGGGTCATTCCCACTAAATAGTTGAGTTCTGTTTTTTTTACATAAAACCTGCAGCGACTGACCTTACTTCCAGAGTCTTTGGCTCCACATTCACCTTTATCGTACCACCATTTGTTTTTCAGCTTGTCTAAGATGCCTTGCTCACTGAGTTTCAATACTGCAAGGTTTATAGGTGTTCTTCACGTGGAAAATAACATAAATAACATTATATATGTTATTTTATGTTATTCATTACAAAATACTATTTCAAGTTTGCAAGGGCGATATACATTAATGCACCATTTGGCGTATGCAAACCCAGTGAGATTTACAAAGCCACATGACCATTAACGCATCGCCTGAAGTAACCAGCAAGTGCAACAGTTTCCTTTGCATTGTCTGCATTAAATATCAGATCCAGTACTACTGGAAGCTTGGGTCCTAAATCGTCTCTGTGCCCTCAATTAGCATTTTTAGCTCACCACTGTGCAATATTGCTGCTTACTTGTTTTTGCATTGAGTTACCCATTACTTTTCTCACTGGGGCTGACCTTGGAATCACCTCCCCCGCTGCCGCACTCTCCTTTGTCGTACCACCATTTGTTTTTCAATTTGTCCAAGAGGCCTTGTTCATTCAGTTTTAGAACTGCGAGGTTAACCGCATTTCTTGAAACGATAAAACATACTTGTAAGAAATAGTGAGCGAGTTTGCTTTTTTTTTTTCCCTTTTTGTTTAGAAATTTTGCTGCTGTGGCAGGCATGTCACAATGAAACACAAGAACTGGCCACAATATTAAAACAATTTGAGCAAAACCCATGTGTTGCTAATGTTCTATGCATTCGTTGGAAGGTGGCAGAGCTTAAACAAAAAATGAAGGAAAGAGTGCAAAAATGGGGAGCTATATCATCTACATCACTGTACTCACATTCACAACAAATAAATAAGAGAGTGTCTTGAATGTGACTCCACTAAAAAGAGACAGCAAAAAAGTAGTAACACCAACTGTGAACATAACAACCATATACAACAAATAACGTGTTTCACTTATGTCAGGTAAAAATAAAGCTAATTTAATCAAATGCCAAAAGATACTAGGAAGTTTTTTTTAAAAATTGTATCTAAAATACTTTTAACAAGAATTAATACTTTTAAAAGGGCAATATTTTGCATTTTTCCTTAAATAGGGTCATCTTTCTTTGAATTCATACTATGGTCAGATTCAAGATTCGTAAACAGTGAAATACATGACTGTTTTCTTTCATAAAATATTATAATATTTTTCGCAATAGGACTTGACAATCCCACCAAAATTATTCCAATGAAAACAATATATTATTAAAGAACATTCAGGTATTTTTTTTGTCTCCCTTTCCCACTAAAGTAAAGACATCAGGATTGCACTGTCTACGAGTCTCGAGTCTAACCAACATGCTCGATTCAAGAAGTAAGAACTCGGTTCAACGTCCAACACAGGTTAATTGGGTATTGCCCTTTTAAAAAAAAGTTTTGCTTGGTGCAATAAATTAAAATTTAGTTCTAAAGAATGCTACGTAATTTTCTCAATGGCCTCTACAATGTTAATGTTACCTCATATTTTTATACAAACCATATCACAATAGTAAACAACACATCAGGGTAGGTGGGATACTATAACAACATTGAGAATATTGTTATACTATTCCACCCACCTTAATGAGGATCCTTTAGGTGTTGCGATCCCATATCCTTTAGAATCTAGGTTTCCTCCGACTTTCATGGTGTCACAGGGCTTCCTTTGTTCAATGTATTCATTCATGGTGGACTCCAGGAGATAGGCGTATTTTCCTTTTGATTTCCGTACCCTGGCCACCCCTTCTGCAGTCGTCTTGACAAAGACAGATGGCTCAGCACTTTTCATGTAGGCCCACATTTTTTCAAAAAGTGCAATTTTGGATCTCTGTCCAACAAAACAAGAATAGAATTCTCAGCTCACCATAGACTGAAACACTTACTCAGGCTTGAAATAGTTTACCAGTCACTGAACACTTTTTATATAATAATCCTTGCATTTGATACGGCACCTTATCACATCTTCTCGACATCTCAAAGTGCTTCACAGAATATACTGTAAAGTGAATTGACTGTATATTTGTGGGCGAAACGCGGCAGCCAATTGCTCACAGGAGTGTCACACAAACAGTCATGGATTGAATGACCAAATTATTATTATTTTATTTGCGGTATTAACCCGGAAAAACAATCTGCCAATTGACTAACAACTGGGTTTCTACTTACTGCTAGGTAAACAGAGGTGTGTGGAGTAAGGAAACTTGGCCAACATTTTGCCCTACCAGGAACCCTGGTCTCTTGCTTGCGAGGTGAGTGCTCCAATTACAGAGCTACAGGACTCCACTCCATCAAGTGATTATATAATAATAATCACTCGATTGGGAGGAAGAGAGAGAGTTCTCACTGATATTTTCGATTGCCCTATTTATATTTCACTATCAATTTGAAAAGGTTTGCTTTGCAAAGTGAGCTCTCTGCTTTTATTGAAAATTGAAAAGACTCATGATTAAGCGGCTGCATTCAGAGTTTACAATACCACAAGTTCGGTTTTAGTGAAAAAGTTCCTTTGCCCCATTTTATCTCATCCTTCCAGAATACCCACCCTACCATCCTCCTCTCACAGTATCACACTTTGTTTAATTGAGCCCAGTTTCCTGTCTTCCACCACCCTTCTTGGCAAATGGTTCCTGTTGTTAATTACCAGTGGCCCGTTTTGCCTCTTGGGTGTTATTGAAGCAGTGCGCATTGCAGAGCAGTAGTCTCAGTCACCTGGGATTACTAAAGAATATAAGATTCCACAGTTGGTGGGTCAGAGAGGAAATTCAAGGAAATGGGACTCACAAAATGTCATACGAAAGAGTTACAGAGCAGGAAACGAGAGATACAGTATATGGATCTCACAGAAACACAACAGAACAATAAATAAAATTATGTGACTGAAGTCCCATGTACTGAAAATGAAGAGAAGGAAGCTGCTATCAAAGAAACAAGACAAATAAATGTAGCCAGAGAAAAAGGGAGTTTATATTTTTATAGCACTTTATCAGTACTCTGAGATGCTACGTTGTGTGAAAGGCACTATGTAAGTGCAAGCTTCTGTTGTTGTTGTCAAAGTATCTTAATCCCTTCTCTCCCTGGCTCAGTGTCAAGCTTTGGCACTGTTAAGCACTCCGATAGACTAACCCGCATGAAGGGCGCTATATAACTCAAGTTGTTATTGACAAGTGTAGTGTATTTATTGTAGGTAAACACAACAGGCATTTGCACCAATAAGGTCACACAATCAGCCACAAGGTGAATGACCTACTGAACTAATCAGAATGATTGTTGACCAGGATATCAGGAAATATTCCCCTATTTTTAAATCGTTATGGGATTTCTACCATCAAGTTGAATTGTCAGACAGCAAATAATTTCACCTCTTATCTAGAAGAGGGCATCTCTGACATGAGCCTTTAGTCTACGCTAATACTGGGGATGTGCCGCATTGTTGGAGGTGTCATCCTTCGCATGAGACATTTTAGATAAGCAGCACCCATGCTACAGATAGATGATACAATTCGAAAAGAAAGTTTCTCCTGCTGTCCTGGTGGCCAACAATCCCACAAATAAAATTTGGTCATTCACTTCATGGCCATTTGAGGGACATTGTTGTGCATAAATTGTTTGCGGTGTTCGCTGACAAAATACAGTCATACACTTTACATTAAATCCTGTGAAATTGTTTGAGGCATCATCCTGACACAAAACACTGGCTCTATATCAAATGTAAGGATTATTTTATAATTTTTGTATTTTGAAATATAAATCTGAGAAACTATCTCAGACTGAAGGGACCAGTATCTTGATTAGTATGGATTTGAATTCATTGAATATACTGAAAATAATCAGTTTGAAATTTGAGGGGGAGAAACAATGAAGGATTGCTGGTTGAAAAGCCTCAACACACTGGCATTTATACTGAATAAGAGGCAATTTTGAATGTGGGCTGGTGCTCTCCACAATAATTTAGTTAGAGACTGACCAATCTAGTTCCACACAAGATGCTTACAGCCAACATAGAAGGTAATAATAATAATAATAATAATAATCCTTGCATTTGATATAGCGCTTTTCACGTCGGGAGGACGTCCCAAAGCGCTTCACAGAACACACTGTAAAGTGAATTGACTGTACACTTGTGGGCGAACGCGGCAGCCAATTGCGCACAGCAATGTCCCACAAACAGTCATAGATTAAAAATGACCAATTTATTATTGTTTTGTTTTGGAAAACAAATCTCAGATGCAGTTTTTCAGGATATAAAGGAATAAGTTTTCAAAGCAACATCCATATTTTGTCCTTTGGAGATTCCCATTAGTATTCTGAACACACTTAAGACAGCTGAATCAGAGACCAAGTCTTGCCACAAGAAAGGTGTACAATGATCAGTCATTGATAAGAGAATTGTGAGACTTAAATATCCATTCTTTTCATCCTCTGAAATAAAGCCTTCAAGTGAATGTGGAAGTGAGGACAGTTTTATGGAAAGGTACCTTTATCTCAACAGTCTTGGCTGGTTTTAAAACCATAAGGTGAAAATGCAATATGTGATCTGATAATTCTATGAAGTACAATTTTTTCACCCCATGATCCCATAACTAGAAAATTATTAATTATTAATTAGCTAAAGTTAATGCGTGACATAGAGTTGAAGGCAACTTTGTGTGATAGACAGACAATAGGTTGTAAAATAGGACACAAAAAGTTGCTATAAATGGACATTCTCTGATTGACAGGCAAGTGATGACAAGTGATGTGGGGCAGAGGTGGTGAAATTAAATGAGTGGTTGGAGGAGAAGCGATGCAGGGAATTGCAGAGATGGGATGGGTAGGGGTGGGAGAATGACAACAAACAACAAATTGCACTTATATAGCAGCCTCCACACCGGGCAGTGTCTCAGAGTGCTTAGAGATGAGGGCAGAGGCAGAAAGGGAGAGTTGGTTGTCATCCATGCACATATAGGAGTGGAACACGTGCTTATGGATGATGTCACCAAGGGGGAAGCAGGTAGAAGATAAAAAGGAAAGGACTGAGAATAGAGCTCTGATGAATGCCACACATGACCATGTGGGGTCAGGAGGAGAAGCAGTTAACATTCCAAAGTGTGAAGATGTACACTTAAGATGGAAGAGTAGCAATTGGGAGTTTGTTCCGAATAGGGAAACACCAGGAGGAGTAGATGAGTAGATCTAAGGGGTCCAAGTTTGCAATTGCATAAAGCAATCGAGCTGATGGAATGCTGGCATTTATTACAAGAGGTCTGGAATATAAAGTCAGGAGGTCCTGCTCCAATTGTGTAGTGCTGCTCAAACCTCATTTGGAGTATTGTGCTCAGTGTTGGACACCCAATCTTAGGAAGGATATACAAGACTTGGATGATGTCCAGCAGTGATTCACTAAATTAATACCTGGGCCAAAGAAGCCTAGTCATAATGGCTAGACTGTGGTTATATTTCCTAGATCAGAAGAGGTTAAGGGGTCATTTGATTGTGATATTCAAAGTAATGAAAGGAATTGACAGGTTAGATAGAAGATGACTCTTCCCCTCTGGTAGAGGAATCTGTTACAAGGGACATAGCCTTAAAATCAAAACCAAGACAGTTAGTGAGGTCAGGAAGCTTTTTCACACAGAGTTGGGAATAATGATTTTCTCACCCATTTTTGCATCAACAATGATTTCTCACCTCTGAAAACAAATGCAGAAAAGCAAAATCTCAACTTACCCTAAAAAATTCCTTTGTGGATCCAGAATCCAAAGTTCCATATGCAATCTCGGTTTGCTTAGCAAGATCTTCTGCACTTTCAATGGGAGAGACCATTCGTTCGACCGTCAGGAAAGCAGCTAAGTTAGCCGTGTATGAGGATATTATGATCAAGGTAAAGAACCACCACACACCTCCAACTATTCGCCCAGACAGGGATCTAATAACAAGTGTGAAATGGATTTGTAAAATGAAATGAATGTCTTCATTGGGACAGAGTCATCAGTCACGTGTTATTATGCTTGGCATTTAAATGCATGGAAGCACTTTAACTGCATATTACAAGCCACTTGGTGAGCTGTTAAAATAATTCCACAAACTGTCTTCATCCTCGTAAATAAATTTAAGAGTTAACAATGTTAATGCTGCATGAATTATACATCACAGCTAAATGGTTTGGTGTTTAAAGGTTTTACTACATCTAATAATAAGTAGTGAAAGTAAGTGCTCCCTTGCAATAAAAAATTTAAAATAATGAGAATATGCCAAATGGAAAGAAAAGTAGTAGCCCTCCATGCTACTATACATCTTCTATTTTGCTCAGAACACAAAAAATGAAGGCAAATTTATGATATGTAAACTACAAATGCACATAGTACGGTCTTACACAAAAACTGTGCCAAATGCTTGAATGATTATTTTCAATTAATCTGAAAAAGACATTTAAACATTCAAATGGGGTCCACAAACAGTGTCATACACAAACGAGAGGAGCCACGGGCAATGGTGAAGGTTTGTTACATTACATTAAAGAAAGGTGAATGCTCAACACTCAACGAGCAACTTTTTAAATGATGCTGGAGTTTTTCAATACTGGAGGGTTTAATAAAAGGAAGGCATGGCTTAGGAGCTGCTTGTGATCATGGACAACAAAACTGATGCAAACAAACAAGATCTATGAACATGAAAATGACTCAGAAATCCGAGTCTTTATTCGCAGCAACTCCAATATTCACACTTTGTTTCTTTTCTCCTGCCTTAAAATTTAAGATAAATTAAAATTCTTTCAATTAATTTGAGCGAGGTAAAAAAAGAATAGCCTAAATCACTCTCAACATATCATTTCTGGCAAAAATACCCTGATAACAAGGCAAGTCTAAATTTGTGTCTTGCTTTCAACTGAACTGTTTGAATTCATCCCCGTTAAACAAAACTGTGACGGAGAGTCTGAACTCAAGGTCTCACTGAGCACATTGCTGAATACATAATTAATTTCCTTACCAGTAAACACATTTCTCTCAGAATAGCACCCCATGTTTAATTATATCTTAAACAAATGCAACCTTGTAAAAGTACATAGGCACGTTTGTTCTTGTAAGATTGAAGTCATAATAAGAATTAACAAAAGTATTGTGCAACCTAAGTTCAGTTCCAATCATTGAGCTTTTTTTGAATTTTTTGAAAAAAACAATGACTCTCCTCTCCAATGTTTTATGCTGGGGGGATGGCATGGATCCTATCCATACGTGGCAGGTGAAAATTATCTTTATGGGGGCTGAGCTAAGCCACACTCTCCTCGTACATCTTGACTGTGCTTTACTGAAGGACTGTGTCTCTATCTGTCTGTGTGTGTGCCCTGGCACTGGATCCAACTCCTGCTCACTCAATCACTGACTGCTACACTTACATTACTTCATGTCCCATTACACACAGAGAGCAGCTCCCCAATCCAGTCGCAACATCCCACTAGCTAAAACTGGAGAAAAGATATAGGCATCTGAGCCACTTCTAGCTCTAGCCTCCTGCTGCCTATGTAGTTAGCAGCCATCCAGTGTCTCATCAAGTGGCCATTCTTCATGTTTGAGCCTGGAGATTAAGTGCTGGCAGGCAGTGTGATCATGGGGACAAAAAGCTGAGACTGTTTCATACTTACTAACATCCTGGCTGGCTTTAGCTGACTCAGCATAGACCAGGGCATGGAACCTGGAACCATTTGGCAAGTCTCGGTACACACTGGGAGCACCTGAGTTCTCTTTTTAAACAACATTATTTCAGTTATTTTTCTAAAAAGATCTTTCAACTACAGGGTATTAAATCCTTAAAATAAAGATACAAAACACAGTAATGGAAAATGGTATATACACATATATAGATGTGCAGAGTGTTGAGGATGAGGATGTATGAAACCTAATGTAACACACCGAGTATCCAGAAATTATCAGAAGCCAAAATTTTCTCACCTGTCTTAACCTATTAGAGGGAAAAGGTACAGATATGCATTAAATATGTTTCATTTAGTGTCTAATGAAAACAGTATTAGTGTTTGAACAGCCTACAATCCTGACGGGACTATAATTACTACATCTTATCCTTCATCTCCTGAGCTACATTCTAAATGCTTTGCACCTTCTTCCTTAAAAGCAAAATCAAAATCATGCTACTGTAATGCATGAGCACGAGTGTACAATGCATCAGAGCACCAGTGTACAGCATCACCGAGAGGTGGGAGCCCAGCTTGGTTTTCCTTTGCTGAGGTACTTTCTAGAAGCCAATTAGTGAGAGGGTTAGAAAACCTGAAGGTGAATTCTTTAAGTGTACGTACTCACTCACTCACTCACTCACTCACTATCTGACAGCAGCATAACTGGCAGACTGGGAGCAGCAGGTCTCTGAAACCAGGAAGACGAAAATAAGTGAAAAATAGGGAAACTAATAGAGGCTGGGATACAGTCCAAAAACATGTTAAGAACAAGAGTCTACTGGGGCTGCCAGTAGACTCTTGTTCTTAACATGTTTTTGGACTGTATCAGTGAGATGGGAGCAGATATAATGCTTTTGCTGCATAGTAATAGAAATTGGAAGTATATTCCCCATTTAATATATGGACTATGAAGGTAGAACGTATCAAATTATTTTATAAAATTACTGTCATTCTTATTAAAATAAAGTTTCAATTAATTTATTTATATTGCTTGTTGTAGTGACCATTAACTACATTGGTTGTTTAGTATAACCTATGGCTCAGTGTGTCAAGGTGCTAAACCCTCATAGACCCACCCTTTATTTTAAATGCTTAACTTATAAATTTTTCCTTCGCCTCCCAGGCTCAGCTTGTATGCCCAGCCCAGATGTCTTCCCAATGCTTAAGGTGTTATATAAATGTGTAAGATATCCTATTGTAATATCCTCCCAACATGGAAGCTGTTATATCAAAATTCAAGGATTACAATTTAAATCAAGATGAGTTTTAGCTTCAAAGCTTTTCATGCTCAAATTAATTCAAAATTAGTGCTTTAATGGAACAGGGAGAGAGGGAAATACTATTGCTTTGCAATTTTCTAGAGATGATGCTGCAGAGTAAGATGTAACGATGTGTAGTATACGGGTGAAGATCTGCTTTAAATAAATAGGCTATGGTTGATCCACTGACTGTGTGACATTACGTGCTGTACTTGCCACCAAAACTAGGTGAACAGAGGTGCTAAATCTAACTTCTATTGTTTTATAAAAAATAAATGATTCTAAAAATATTTTGTGAGCAATTTGTGAACATTACGACATGCAATCATTATCAAACTACTTTATCAGGCGCACAATAAGTATATTTGGCATCTAGTCCCAGTTGCTAATATCTTTAGACTGTTAAAATTGCAAAGAGACTTTCTAATGTATGGTTTGTGCAGTCACCAACAGCGCCAGTAGTTTTAAATCTGTCTTCTTATAGCTGACGAAGTTGGATCCATCAAGCTGGTCTTCAAGATAAACAACTACAAAGATTAGATATAATGTATATATGGAAGGCATTCAAATATAACACAAATAAAGTTTATCTTATTTTACCATTCGCTCTCGTTTTACTGAACACTCTCTTCTGAGGGGTTAGATTCCTTACTCAATGGAAGGAATTCCTTTCAATAGAGGAGACTGCTTTTTCAAGGGATGTGTCTCTTTTCTCAATGCAGAGGATTATTATTCTCAACAGAGGTCTTTCCAAACCAGTATAATTCTTCTTTCACAACAACTTCCAACTGTCTCCGTGATTAACTGGAGGAGAACTGAGGAGAGCTGACATTCAATATTGCCTGAGGTAATGCTTTTCTGAGTTTACCGGAAGCAGGCATGTGCTATATCTTGCTGTTTGTGTGAATAAAAAAAACTGGATGATGAATGACTGATGGACTAACTAACTTCATGCCCTCCTCTTTTATATACACATGAATCGTGGACCGTAAAATGGGAATATGCAGCAAAAACACGGTACCCCTCCAAGAGGACCATGTAATGACTGTAACCTTATGCATTTTAGAGTCTCTGCATGGTGCACATAAGTTCATGGTGGAAATGCATGAATGACTTTGTTGTACATCATTCATGCACTTCTTTGTATTTATTAAAAATTGTTTTTCCCTTTTCAGGACCAAATGTTCAAATTTGTTTTTGTTCTTTAATTTGTGGGTTTTTTTAAAAAAGGAAAAGATCAAGGAGGTGGGGAGGGTTGCAAGTAAAACCCGAATATATATGCAACATGGCATTAGTTTGAGACCAAAAATGCACAAAGCTAAAATACTCGAGTGACCAACCTTGGCGAAATATCGCATCCTTGCTGCATAAAGGCACCCAGAGAAAACCAAAGACTATTAAATATCCCAAATTCATTAGTTTGTTCGCTAGTTTGTGTTTCCCGTCCATCTTCATACTCCTCGGTGTGCCACTCATACGGACTAAATCTGCTGACCAGGAATAAAACTACGCTGACCCCGATGTAAGCGAAGACAATGCACATCCAGATTTCATATGCTAACGGATCTAGAAATGAGAAAACTCCTGGCTTCGACTTCTGGGGCTTCTTTATCATGATGGATATCCCAAGGCTCATGAAGGGCTTTGAAAAGTCGATCACCTCTTCTCTTACCAATGTTATTGTCAGTGGAGCTACAGCAATATCTGCTTTCTGCAACAAAAACAGGTAGATAAAGAGCTTCATTTGAGACTGAACTATAGGTATGCTACTTATTTGGAAAAATAGGAACATTCATCATTGCTATAATTATGCCTTTCTTTACCCTCTTCACTCGTTCTCTGCTGAAGGTGCTGACTTATGCTGGGCACAATTCATAGGCAATAGCTGCCCTCCATTATCTCATCCAAATCTCTATTCTTTAAGTAGTGAGGATCAGCAGGCTGTTCACTGTAATAGGAGTAGGGGAATGTTCTGGTGCATCATTGTCAATTCACCTGATTTTCCTATCTGTCCACTTGTCAGCCCTGGTAAGTGGATTGCTATTTGGAAAGGGAATACTAGCTTATTCTCCCTTTCCAACAGCTGAGGTTAACTGTAGCTGTATCTATGATCAATCAGTCCAATAGAGAGAACAGGATCTAATCAGGCAACCTGTATGGTTCAATTTCAGCAGTGTGAGGCTCATTTCTTAGTTATCAATATCTAAATCTATTAAATTCCTAAGCATTTATTTGCTGAATGAATTTTAGAGTCACTTATCTTACCCCATACACCAGTTCTCCGACCATTCCGTTCCAAACTTTGGTTTCTGCATCCCTAGCACCATACTTCCCATCGGGCACTATTGAGAGCTTGTACTTAAAGCCACAGTGTTTGGCTATTTCTGCCGCTAGATCAACACAGTAGCCTTCATACTGGTCATTGCCTTCAAATTGTTCATGGTTTTTCTTCAGCATAACATAGGGTGCTTCCTATGACAGAAGGTTTGTGTCACAAAATGCTTTCATTTATTTCAAATTGCAAACATTTCACTATCCCTCTTTTATATCAGTCACTCCCAAACCACATGTTACTCCATCACTAAGAGAATAACAGGTGACCTTCCTCCAGCCCTCTGTCTGTCTGCTGACAGTACTTGGCTGACAGGAAATGGGCAGCAGCCAGGCTGTTACGTTCATTGCTCTTCCTTCTACCTGTGTGGATCTGCCAGGACTCCACTTGATGTCTTACTCTGACAGTACATCTATAGATCAATGAGTGCTGTGTGGGAAATGATAGGCATAAACCGATCCTTTATCAGTGGATGAGCAATCCAGTACACCAATGAATTGGCACATACACATCCATACACATATAGGCAGACAGCAATACATAATACATACACTAAGACAAATACACAAACACCCACATATACACAACCAACCATACAGTCCCCTACTCACATATATACACACACACATACACAGAAAACAAACAAATGAACAAGCCATAATTTAAAAGTTATTTAAAAAAATAAAATGTAGCAATTTCTTAATGAATTACTGACTTTGAGTTGTATTGAGTTGTATTATATAGCAAATTATTCAAATGTTTTTTTATTTTCATTAAAAGTGCAAACTGTCCCCCAAAAATGCATTTTCTTTCAATACAGATTTTAATCTTAATGTGGGTTGAAGAAAATGTGTTAAAAAAAGTACATAATTATAAACAAAATGAAATATATTTCAATTGCTTTTAAATCACTGCTGTTTCTATATTTAACAGCTACATTGTCCTCAAGGGCTCTCACAGCTGTCTTCCACACTACATTTTATACATGCAGCATTGGGGACATGGACATCTTTGTGACAACTGTCACTGCTGATCTGTGATCTTCTGACAATAGGTGAGATTGACACTGACGTTTTTTTCCTTACAGAAATGAAGCATTCCATTAGCAGGAAACGCTGCCTTTAGTTGCCATTTGAAGCAATGTCAAAGCTTGACCTCTGTGGATCCCTGCTTTTGAACTTCAACTTAACATGTGCTTGAAAAGTAAGGCTATCTAGATGGCTACCATTGGAGCGACTCAAGTGCTCACCAATCACAGCACTAACTGAATGAAGTAAAAACATTACAAACTAAAGAGGATGGTACAGTTTGCCAGAAAAGCAAATCCTTTTGAGAAAATAACAACCTCTTGGGGATTCACAAAATATAAATGTAAAAAAACACATTACAAAGTAAAATATGAACCAAAAATACAATCATCAGTTTTATTATTCTGTTTAGAACACGATCGTAATTCTCAAGAAGAGATTTGCTTTCCATTCCCCGTGCACTGCACGCTATTCCTTCGCTCATCATTACTCAGTTTTTAGCTGCAAATTACGATTACCAAACATACCATAATCGTTGTCACCACCACGGTTTTATTCTCCATTGCTGCTGTATCATTCCCACCAAGAAAATCTGTTGCCGTGAGAACCATCTTGTCGACTTCATTCCAATATCCAATCTGCCAGGTTCACAATAGATTTGGTAAAATTATTCAAATATATAAAAAAAATTCTTGACCAGTACTTTTATCACATATGCGTGCGTACCTCTATTTCACTCTCTCTATCCCACTTTCTTTAAATGACAGAAACACAGAGGACCTCAATCCTTGTTTTTTTTAATGTATCTGCAAATGCTTTACATGAATGTCTAGGAACCACCATTGCAAATGGCCAATCAGGAAGCTACAAACCAAATCCACCCACCAAAAGTACTGCTACAGAGTACAGAGAAAATGAGCATGGGTTTATCAAGAGTTGACATCTAAAGGTCCACACTGGTAATACATGTACCTGTTCCAAGAAGCAAACACGTTAACAACATCATCAATTCTCCTGAAATTATCCATTAAAAATGTGAAATTCTTTGCTAATGTAAAGATAAGTTGCATACACCTCTGTGGAGTCCTGTAGCTCAGTGGTTAGAGCACTCGCTTTGCAAGTGAGAGACCTGAGTTCAATTCCAGGCAGGGAGAAACCTTGGGCAAGTTTCCTTACTCCACACGCCTAATAATAATCCCTCCAAAATCCAAAACAATAATAAATTGGTCATTTTCAATCTACGGCTGTTTGTGGGACATTGCTGTGCGCAATTGGCTGCTGCGTTCGCCCACAAATATACAGTCAATTCACTTTACAGTGTGTTCTGCGAAGCGCTTTGGGACGTCCTCCCGACGTGAAAAGCGCTATATCAAATGCAAGGATTATTATTATTATTATTATTACCTTCCGGGGACCATTATTTGTGAGTTCCATGATGTTCACGGTATAATTGACTCTTCTCCCAAATTGATCAAACTGAATATTTCCAGTTAAACCATCAATACGGACCTAAACCAGGAAATAGAGACAATCTTAAACTTTTTGAAAGGCACAGCGTAGCACGTATATATAGATTGCTTTGGAGACTAATTGCATTGTCACAATAAGGGTTCAGCACAGCCCTTTCTACTGAACAGGTCTTGAAAGTTGAAAGTTGCCCAGGGGCATTTTTGTGGCAGAGTTATTCTTCAGATTTCGATTTCAATCTTTCTTCCAAAAAGAAAAGTTCCTTTCACGGGTATCCCTAGGCTTATTTTCAGATAATTGAGCTTCAACTGCCTTACGCATGACATGAAAAATACCTCTGACAATAACAAAAAAATACTCTTTGAGGAAAAAAGTACCCAACCAAGAAGAAAATCACTTTTGACTGCAATATACTCCCTTATAATCTGCAGCTGAGAATAAAGTGAGATGAAATTTGGTGAACCAGCCACTTGTCATACTATGCAACTGTTTCCATCAATGTTGTTGACCTGGCAACAGAGAGGTTATGAGTATTGAAACAGTAGTAGGAGTCAAGAAATTGCAGACAAAGGAGATTCACAACAAACTTTAGTTTAGCAAAACTCAAATTTCTCCAACTGAGGATTCAAATCAGTCTGTCTGCACCTTTTACCACATCACATCACGTTGCAGAGCTTCTCAGTCCGTAAACTGATCATATAAGTCGTAAGTAGAGGAAGATGGTAAAACCCTAATCCTAAGGAAGAATCCGAAGAAGATAGATCCAAAGAGGGTTGATAAAGAAAATGAACAATAGTTAACATATTAACAGCTACTTCCTGGAGTTTTTTTTAGCATGAAAGATATTATAAAAATGCTCCCCCAAAATCCAGAAAAAATTGTATGAACTCCAGGACTTTGTCACAAATGAGCCTGACGTTCTAGATAGGTTTAAGGCACTGAAAACCAATAGATCCCCCTGGGATAGAAGAACTAGACCACCAGGATACTTAAGAGACAAGACAGGAGATTTTTACAATAATGACAGACAATATAGGAAATCCATCATCACTGGGGAAGTTCCAGCAGACTGAAAACAAATAAATTACATCTCAGACACACAAGCCATGCCATTAACATGTCAGCATCTGAAAACAGGCTTTGTTGGAAGTTAAACAGTTGTAGTTATTCAACACAAAAGAGATAGATGGCAATGACAACAGCAATAAATGATGTTCGTTTATCATTTTGAATCAGTACTACTGTATTTCCTGAAATAAAATGCGTAACATGCAAGTTATTGAACTTAAAGATTTTCACCACATTCACAATAACATCTTTCTTCTATTATGTGTATATTGTGAATGCCTTTTGTTTTCTTATAAACACGGACAGACTTACCAGCTTCAATGCCCTTTCAATTTCAATTCCCTGTCCCCAGGGCACAGCAGGATTAGCGAGACAATCTCCAGTACTACCTCTCCTGGAGATGTCAATTCGCTGTTTGCGTAGATAACGGAAAGCTTCAGTCATCACTTGAACAGCATCGTATGTCAGGGCAGAAGTGTACTGAGAAACAGAGACAACGAGCAAACAAAGCAAAGTAGACGTAATAAATCCTGTACCCTCCATCCTCGCCAAATACTTAAGATCAGTCTTAATTTGGACTCTTTCTTTTTAATAACTGAAGAGTACCGATTTCTAAAGTAAGATTGAATTGAAGAATTTGTAACAGTTCCATGCAATCCTAATCACTTTACATAGTGGGGTTACAGGGTAAGACAAGGTAGAATTTCAGACCAAATGTTTCAACCTATATAGCAGACAACAAATGAACATACAGTACCTGAGGGTGACCTCTTTTGGAAAAGTTAAAATTCAGAATTTCACAAAGTCAAAAGCCCAAGAAATACTTCCATTAAAATACAATTATCATCCCTTCCACTGATCAGGCAGGACCCATCACTGAACCATGAATCAAATCAGACAAGACGTTAAACCCATCTGTTCAGGTGGATGTTAAACACCATATTTTACAGTAAATCCTGTGAAGTGCTTTGAGTTGTCCTCTTGACATGAAAAGTGCTACGTCAAATGCAAGTATTATTATTACTACTGAAACAAAGATGGAAGTTTCTCTAAGTGTCATAGTTAATAATCCCCCAAATAAAATTGATCATTCACTTCATGACTTGTTTGCGGGGGCATCGCTGTGCACTAACTAACTGGCTGTCGCCTTCACCTCCAAACATACACAGTTATCACATTTTATAGTAAATCCTGTGAAGTGCATTGAGATGGTCTCCTGACGTGAAACATGCTACATCAAATGCAAGGTTTATTATTGTTATCATTAAATGAAGTATGTTGTTCTGAAATACTGCAGAGTCCCCATGAGCAGTTTGAGATCCCTAACCCTTGTCTTCTGCGAACCTACACCTCTGATCCCCAGGCATTGAGTTTCCCCTCCAGGAGAGAGATGTAATCTCTAAAAAAAAACAAATAAAACTCTACTTCTTCTGTAAATTCTTCTCAGTAGAAATGGAGATTCCTAGGCACGGTAGAATATTTAAGAGAACAGAAACCAAAATGGAAAGCCACTGAGAAGCAATATCTCTGGCCATTATAGAAGTGGCCTAGATTACAGTGCAACCCTTTGGGAGAGGATAATTGCTTTCCTACAAACAGTATTAGACATAGTACTCTTTCAGTCTAATGGGCTGACATTCTAGTCAGTGTTTAGTTTAGCTCACGCCTTCGGCAATGCACAATTAGTAGGGAAATCCCATTAGTGGCTGACATTACTAAAGGCATTGCATGTGCCAGAATTTTAGCCCATTAGACTGGTTGGTTCAGGACAACCTTCAAACTCAAAAAGCTAAATGAAGAGAACTGTCTGACCATTTTACTGTTGGATGAGCATCGCATTGCAATAAGATGATAGATCTTCTTCCCTGTGAAAGCACACAATTTCGGTCCCATCTTCAGCTGACATGATCAATGTGATTGTTTGTTTGCCATATCTGTTGCAGAACAAACCAATTTCAGACCTGAATGAAGTATTATTGTCACCTGTGCTTAAAATATTGATGAGTTTCAAGTGAATGCTCCAGCTTTTGTTCAAAGCTTTCCTGGATCACCTGTATCTCTGACACACGGTTTGCTGCTGAGTTTTAGTGCCTTCAATATTCCTCTATTTTTAAATAAATATTAAAAATTAATCCTCACATTTAACCTAGCGTATGTCACTTAGGGAAAATGTCTCCAAGTGCTTCACAGGATATATTGTGCATGCAGTCACTGTATAATTTGTCGACGAGCAACGATGTTCCATAAACAGACACAAAATGAATGACCAGTTGTATTGGACACCAGAAGAAACTCCCTACTCTTTTACCATAGTTCCATGGGATCTTTAACATCCATCTGATCAGGCACATGGGATCTCAGTTTAATGTCTCATCTGAAGGACAGATTCAGTATTTAATTTAATGTTTTACAGGTGAAAGTATTCAATAATGCCTGAATCATATGAATTGCAAACACAGATTAAATGGTTTTCTTTTAGGAAATAACATTATGGGATATAATACATGGGTAGTTTTGGACATATGTGCATGTGACCGCCAGGAAGATGGAAGGCAAATTAGATGGGCCTTGGTCTTTTTTCAAATAGCATTTCTTATGTTCTTATTTTCTTATTTTCTAATTGGAACATTTGGGTGTTATGTATAATTCTGGCCTTGTATAGATAGTTTAACTAATGTCTTTATTCACCTATAAATCTACAGCCTTTTGATCCTTAATCTGTAGCTTTTTTTNAAGGACTATGGAAAGCCACCTTCCAAAACGAGACTGAAATTTAGAATTTCACAAGGTTCTGTACAACTTAAATGTTCTTAAGGCTAAGACCAGTTGAATTTTGGGCCCTCTGATTGCCACATCATTGGGTTTCATCACGCTCCACTGTGACCAGCTAATGCTTTAGCAGTTAGATCTTCATGGCTTTGTTGCTGAAAATAGAACGGATAATAAACCTACCTTAATTTTACTTGTTTTGCCTCCTGGATACTCCTTCTCATCCAGAGCCAACCATCGTTGCATGAACTTCATGACGACTGGGTCATCGTAATCAACAATTTGAAATCCAGAGACATTTGCTCCACCATACTGGATTTTTGACAGGTCGCCATCTGTAAATCCCTGCAGCAAGTGACAAGAACAAAGATGGATTCATTTGGTTTTGTTTCATTCCAAATTAAACTACACCGAGTTCCACATAAGTGATTTGAGACATTCTCCTGACTTAAATGTAAATTGTATTGTATATGCATAACCATACCTCTGTTTGTCTGGAATGGCATGCGCACTCTCTCCCCAGAGGGACACACTTGCTCAAGCGATTCTGGAGATCCTTAAGTGGAGTCTGGCAAGAGCAAAGACTTGGGGACCCCAGAATTTCCATAAAGCTATCACTGCAGTTGAATCAGCTAAAACCGCAGGGGCTTGCCAATGCAAACACTATCTGGCAAGCTTCCTGCTGCTTGTCCAGCTAGGATCCCATTAGGGTTTTGAATTGCTTAGTTGACAGAAGCTGAGTGGGAAGATTTCCTGGCGCCAGTGACTGATAAACTCCTCCAAGTGCTGCTGACAAGTAAGGTTGGATGGTTTGTCATCAACAATTCCTTGGAGTCGAAGAACCTGCTTGGCTCAGGATCTAAACTACTAAGACTCCCACAAAGATCGACTCAATTATGATATTCTATATAATAATAATAATAATCCTTGCACTTGACATAGCATTTTTTCACGTCTTCCAGACGTTTCAAAGCGCTTCACAGAATAGACTGTAAGGTGAATTGACTGATATTTTTGGGCGAAACGTGGCAGCCAATTGCCCACAGCAGTGTCCCACAAACAGTCGTAAATGGAAGTATATCCAGCCATGTCACATTGAAGCCGGCTCAGTCCCAAAGAATCTTTGCTTACCTTCCACAGGGAGAAAAGGGAGCAGCTCGAAGAAAAGCCTTTGAAATCCTGGCAATATTCAATATGGAAAATGTATCTATATCATTTACAATAAGCGGCTAAAACACCATTATTTTCTAATAAGGAATCTGAGTTGGACAATTAGGAACTCCTATTCGAAAACGAGAAATAAATCACCCTGAGCAGCAGAAATTCCACTCTGACGTGATCCACTTTTCCAGACACAGTTTTCATGCGTTGGTGGGATTTCTAATTATTTTTCTTAAGGTATCCTGATCAAAAATTCACATTTTACATGTCATTGAAGAAATTACTTGTATTGATATAAATGGTTTTAAGTGCCTGGGTGGTTAAGAAAATAATAGAGCTGGCTGGATCTAGGGGATTAACTAACTGACTGTGTTTCCGACACTTCTAACAATCTTTTTTAAAAAATGTTAAAATTGATGTCAAATTATGTTAAAATTTCACATCATAATTGTATTTATTCCCCACTCCCAGCTCCTACACCTAGCGCCTTGGGACATTCTCCCAAAGTGAAAGGCACTATATAATGTAATTTGTTGTCGTTGTTTGTTATTGTTGTTATTTTCTTCCCGGAGCTATTTTGATACAACCCAAACCCATGTCAGTCCATATCCCTGCAGATCAGCTGGGTTGGCAGATGTGATAGTGAGTGTCTGAACAGCTATCTGGAAAATGGGGTCAGCCTGCAGCTACTGTTATGTAATGGCTTACAAGCAGACAAATGCTAAGACCTTGAGATAGCAAGTGTTTCAAACCTACTGTGTGGAATAGAGAACTAATGATCTATTAGCAGATGAGTAAATAAGGTGCTAAATGATCTGTTTAACAGGATGGGCAGGTGAAACAAAGGCTCCACACCCAACAGTGGGGATGAGTAACTGCATAGAGAATACTGTATATTTGTGGGCATACTGCAGCAGACAATTGCACACAGCAGTGTCCCACAAACAAACAGTCGTGGATTGAGTGACAAAAGCATTATTGTTTTTTTTTAGGGATTATTATCCCCGGAAAAGCGATCTGCCAATCGACTAACAACCGGGTTCCTACTTACTGCGCTTACTGAAATGTACATTTACATGAAATTTAGGTAAGATCTAAGTGGCAAAACAAACCCAACCATTTTTTTCCCCAAAAGATAGATAAATTGTGTTCTGAAGATATCATGAAATTATTCCAGCAGTCATTATATTTTCTGATTTAAGATGTCTTTGACCTGTTTATGAGAAATTAAGACTTTAACTCAGCCAGCTAGAATTCTGCTTCCTTATTAAATAATTATACAATGTTTACTCTTTGGTAATGTAATTTACATCAACGTTTAATGAACATGGCTTTTTGCAGACTGCAGTTGTACAGAACAATCATCCAGTCATCTTTTCTTGGCCTGAAAATAACATAGCGCATTCACTTCCAAATTAGGCTTGTTCCCGCAGGAGTCCTTCATATCATGAAAACTCCAGATGGCATGGTTTTATGCAGCTGTGCAAAATGGAAGTGAGCTGCAGAAAGCAAGCATTACAATAGCAGTGTCCAATGAAAGATTTAACTGGGTCTAACATGGATACATGTTCATTGTTGGTGGCCTGCTGGATTTCATCGCTTAATATGATTTGGGGGATATGTTCTTGAAATTATCAGCACAGTATGAGGCAGTAGATGGGTAAACAGATGGAGCATGAATCTCAGGAAGCGATACTGAACTTGTGGAGAGCTCTTGTCTATACCGCATGGAGTGTAAAATTTTGCTTGCAGTATTAATAGATGGGCGTATGAGCGTTATGATGCTACAGCGAAGGGTAATTAAAATGATAGTTGGAGTGAGGCACTGAGTTGTGAGGAGAAGCTGTAACAACTAGAAATGGTCACACTGCCGAAGAGAAGGCTGAAAGGAGATCTTATTCAAATGTTTAAGGTCCTAAAGGCTACAGATGAGCGTAATCCCAATAACATATTTAAAATAGTTACTATCTCCACAAGATGACACAAAATCAACATCGCCCAGCTCTGCCACTGTCTCACACCACAAACCGCCAAGACCCTCATGCATGCATTCATAACATCCATGCAAACTCCCTGCTTGTCGGCCTCCCCAATTCCTCCCTCCATAGGCTGCAGATCATCCAGAACTCTGCAGCCCGTGTCCTCTTCCACACCAGGCTCCGCGACCCTGTCACCCCCATCCTCACCCAACTCCACTGGCTTCCCATCACACAGTGGATACAATTCAAGATCCTGGACCTCACCTTCAAATCCCTCCATGGCCTTGCTCCCCCCTACCTCGGCGACTTTTTACCCCCCTTACCAAGCTGCCTGCTCCCTCCGCTCAGAGGGCTCCGGACTGCTTCACGTTCCCCGCCTTGCCTGCCCCACCATTGGGGAGGGCCTTCTGCCTCTCTGCCCCCACCCTCTGAAACTCTATCCCGCAGTCCCTCCGCCTCGCCCTCCCATGCTTCCTTCAAGACCCGTCTCAAGACCTTCCTCTTCGACCGTGCCTTCGGGCACTCTCCATCTCCCCCTACCCTCCACCCTCCCCGATCCTGACCCCCAACTCAGATCCAAAACACTTATTGTCCATTACCTTGGGACAGCCTCCCGATGTCAAAGGCACTATACAAATGTAGTTTTTTGTTGTTGTTGTTGTACGATACGTTATGAAGTGCAAGGGTTATTATTATAACTCCTTTACACAAGGAACACTGAATGAGTGTATCTGGGGAGTTGGTGGAGGTAGATTGTGTAACTAAATTCAACAGGAAAATAGATAGGTATTTAGTCAATCAAATTGACTGAGGTGTATGAAATAGTAGAATAGCATAATTGTTTTCTTTGAGTCCAGCCAGATTGTACTTTCTAGACCTGTACATTTCAGTGAAAAACTCTTTTTTGCAATGATCTTAATGTATCTCTGCTTATCTGAATCTTTACACAGTATTACATAATCTAATTACATATAAATGTTGCACAGAGCTACAGTTGTTTGGTTTTGCAGGTTCTGGCCTATTTTATGTACAACACAATTCCAGTGTACAATGTTAGAGGTTACCTACCAGATTGGCAAAGATGTAATGGTATCCTTTCACATGTTTCCCAATAGTTATAACCTGTGAGGAAGAGATTAAGAAATGAGTGACTTTTCTTAACTTAATAACATGTTTAATGTTACCATTACAGGAGAAACATACACATTTTTAACAGCATATACTTAACACATTTAAGATATTCAGGATCTTATCACCTCCCACCACCCCAACAAAAAAGACCTTAAAGATTAAAAAAAAATTCAGGTGACCTCAAAAACTATCATCAGTGAGAAAGTTTGAAAATAACACTAGGAAATGAGAGAACGATCTTTCAAGGGTATATGAAGGTGAGATGTAAAAGAAAATAATTAAAACGCGGCTGGTTTTAATTAATTGAGTAATTTTTGAAGCCTACAAATCTCAAATGTATTCATTGAATTCCCATGAGCTTGTGATTTCATGCTTTTCAAAGAGTTTCACACTCTATTTACAGCAATGATATTTGCAGCAAAAATCTGCAGGCATTCAGATCGCAGTCAATACAAATTAAAGTGACCACAGTATAAAACACATAATCCATAGACTTTGGCAACGATCACCAAATAGAAATTGGTTGTCATGGTTTATGGTGGGTTATGGAACATTGGTATGTTCAAACTGGCTGCCAGATTTGCCTACAAAATACAGTCATTACACTTTGCAGTATATCCTATGAAATACATTACCTCATCCTCCTGAAGAAAAAGATGCAATATAAATTATAAGCATTTTTTTAATATTGATTACAGTGAGTGTCTGTAAGATTCTGTCGACTCTGTGCATTGCCAATTATTCATTATCTAGTGAAAGGAGCTCTATAAATTCAGGTTATTTTCATATGAAGCAATCGTAGAAAGTCCTCCCAATGTCAAAGGCCTATATAAATGCAAAATTATTGTTGTTGATCTAGTAGTTATTTAGCGTACATTCCATAGATCTCAAACCTCAGATAAACCTGAAAAAGGATTGCAATTTATCCTTGAATATCTATGAACTAATCAGAGGCATGAGAGGGGAATTTTGTGGGCTCTGTCAGAGCTAAATCGAGAGGTTTGTTAACCTGTGAATATAGCTATAGATTAGGTTTTTAAATAACATTTCTGCTGATTAAATTATATTGGAAAAATCTTCAGGAATAGATTGCAAGAAAGGTTTGGATGAAGAAGGCCTTTTGGCACATTTGATCTCATCCTTTAAAAATATTCATCATAGCATCAAGCTGAATTTTACAAGTTCGATATTCTGGTTTCCATCACCCTTCCTGGCAACAAGTTCCAGTCGTTAATTACTCTTTGGGTAAAGAAAAACATCCAGGTTTCTATTTTGGTGCCCAGTTGCAAATTTGAGCAGGTCCTCTTTAGTCAAAATAATACAGGCCACGTTTTGGGGGCTGAATCCACCTCTTCAAATAATAATAATAATCCTTGCATTTGATATCACATGGTTGAGACGTCTTAAAGCGCTTCACAGAATATACTGTAAAGTGGATTGACTGTATATTTTGAAATGTAGCAGCCAATTGCGCACAGCAGTGTCCCACTAACAGTTGTAGATTGAGTGACCAATTTACTTTTTTTATATATATATACAGACTTTTCTGCTGCTGTGCTAAGTGCTTTGTGCTGATAAATTACATGCATGTCTTTGAAACTCCATATGGATTATTATGACCCTGAGCGTCTTTTCAATTAAAAAGTTAATTGCTGTCTCAGAAGAACATGACTTTTCCATTTCTCATATGATTTATCATTATAATCTCCTTCAGCCAAGATTAGTGAATGAGTGCCAATGGTCCTTTAATGGACATTTTTGTTTGCATCATGGATTCTCTCTCGATGGGAACGGAGTATGTCCATCACTCAAGACCCTTAAGTGACCCTAGAGAGAGACAGAACCCATCATCAATATGGGTTTGAATTGAACCAACTGGGCACACATAAATGGACAATATGTACACCCAGTGAGAATTCAAATCCACTCTCCTCTTGCTCCAACAGGATGTTCAGAATTGTTAATAACCTATTTGTTAACCAGATGCTTGTTTCATAATGAGAACAATTAAATAATAAACCAGATGTCACTCTAAACAATTTTGATATGTAAAGACTCTTAATAATAATCCTTGCATTTGATATAGTGCCTTATCACTTCTTTGAGATGTCTCAAAGCGCTTCACAGAATATGCTGTAAAGTCAGTTGACTGTATATTAAGTACACAGTATTAAGCATTTGCATGCAGAATAACAAATTAAATAACCTAACTATAAAGAACAATTGAGCTTTGCAACCTCTACATAAAAGTCTGTAACCTGCATCTTACATTGTACAAGGTCGATATCCTGCACTGAAATTGCACCTAGTCTTAGCCTGTAAAATCATTTTGTCTTCAATTCAATATTTGCTTAAACATTATTTAAGAAAACTCTTAAATTCAGTCTTAATTTGGAAGTCGGCTCTTTTTAGGAATCATGGATAACCGAATTCCAAATTAAGTCTAAATTTAAGAATTTTCCACAATTCTGTGTAATTTTACACTTTAAAGCACAAATGGTCAGGCTGGCTAAGACTGGGTAGAATTCCAGGCTTAATAACAGTTTGTGAGCACAAAGTGTCAGCAGGAAACAGTAATTGTTCTTTGATTATTTGTTCTTAGTGAAACAGGCAGTGGTTATGAATGCATTGACTGGCAGGGAATACATAATGCATTAATTACAGAGGGATAAGAACATGTGGAGTGATAAAGTGATGCTTAGTGATTCAGTCATCTTTCTGACAAAGTCCATGAGAAATGTGCTTCATATGGACTCTGAATCATTTATTCTCTTGAGTAAAGATTCTGCAAAAGCTAGATTTCTATTAAATCAACTGCGTGTCTGACCCTGTCCCACATGATTTACACCTATAAATAGCTCTGCTAGCTCCTGCACTTACAGTGCTATTGAAAGACAAAGTAAATGGTATAATTTCTGAGAATAAATCTGGTTCACAACTATGCACTACCTCTGACTCTCATTCTGAGAGCAGGAACCAAAAGACACATTTACATAAATAGAGATATAGTAAAGACACATTTACTTAAATAGAGACTGAAGAGGTGCAGAGGGAAGACAGAAGGGTCAGAAAAGAGAAAATGGAAGATGGGAATTTGGCAGAGTGATCCGGAAGAAGCTTGCATTGAAATGAACACATTGATTGATGAGAGAAAAGGTAAATACAGGGATTATCGAATGTCAAAGCAAAGAGGAATTTGATTCCATATTGAAACCTTATTAGACCTCTTTACAGTCTGTTGTCATTGGCACGACTGCTTTTCAAATATTGTGTAACACTTTGGCCAACCTATTTCCAACTGAACAATTGTGCATTACAGTAGGTTCAGAGAATAGTGACAATGATTATGATTCTTGGATTTATAGTGCCTAGTTGCAAGAATTAAATTAAATTAAAGTTGCTCTTCTTTGAGAAATGAGAAAAGAAAGGGGACATAAAACTGTGAAAAAGAGCCAGATAACTAAAAGCAGTTATTTAACTATAAATGGTGAACAAAGGACGGGAGAACAAGAGTAAAAAATTGGCAAACCTCACTTTAGACGCTAACATGTTGTAACAATATAATATCTAATAATCCTTGCATTTGGTATAGCGTTTATCAAATACCAAATTATGTACAGTTCCTTGAACACAGTGGTTTAATGGACCAAATTGCTTTCTCCGCTTCCATATATTTAGTTGCAACTACTCTAGGAAGTTGGATATACACACATTCCTTAGCACTGATGAAGTCTGACTGTAAGATCATAGAGTTGATGGATAACTCCTATAGCACGCCTTGGGACATCCCCCTGATGTGAAAGGCGCTCTACAAATTTAATTTTGTTGTTGTTGTTGTTTATAACCCTTATAAATTACTGGGGCATCAATAATATTAATTCAAGTATATATTTTTCAAGGCGTCTGTTTTCAGTCATGGTTATTGTAAATAGTTTTGACATATTATTAGGGGTTGGGGGCCTCACTTTCAAAGCACTGATCCAGTTCGATTCTCAGTTCTCCTTTCTCCCTCACATCTAGTCTCTGACCAAGACTGCTTTTCTTCACTTCCATCACATCGCCGCCTCCACCTCACACACCAAATGTCACCAAGACTCTTATCCACACCTTTGTTACTTCCCGCCTGGGCTTTTTACGAGCTCTCCTCTCTATTCTTCCTAGCTCCACTATCGATAAATTCCAACTTATTCCCAACTCTGCCACCCATATCCTTACCCCATCAAACTTTGCACACCCATTACTCCATTCCTTGCCAGGCTCCACTATCTCCCTGTTTCCCAACGGATCGATTTCAGGTCCTCACCTTCACCTATAAATCCCTTCACGTTCTCACACCTCCCTGATCTCCTACCCCACCCCTCTGCTTATTGCTTCACTCCTACCCCACCCCTTCACTAGCCTAACCAGACTTCTGCACCAAATGCAGTTATTTAACTGCTGCACCTCCGCCCTACTAATGGTTGACGAGTAAAATAGCATTGTTCAAAGGTACCATGGAAAAGTTAGGAAAATGTTCTACTTTCTGGAGCTTGGATGAAAGAAAGTGTTCATTTCAAAGAACAGGGCAACAACAAGAGCTCTGACACCAGCGGGAGATACAGCTGTCTGGCCACCATCAACATCCCATTATTGTTCTCAATAATCATTTAACTTAGGCATAAATGTCAGTTGTGTACAATTCCCCTTTAGTTACAAGAAAGGGTTTATTCTGGATTTTACAGATTTTTTAACCCAGGCATGACAAATTTGTATTCCCGAATCTAATGCAGAAGTTACTTGTAATTTTCATTTTTAACGTTTTCTGCATATAGAACTGACTGCCCACAAAACACCTAGTCACTCCACTTTACAGTATATCCTGTGAAGCAATTTGAGGCAACCTACCAAAGTGAAAGTAGCCATACCAAATGTACAGATTATTTACTATTATTATAATAAATAAGCCTTTGCTCAATATGTTAAGCAGTTCTGACAATCTAATGCTCTTCAGTGACTGATTCAGTATCATCTACTTTGGTCTTTTGGTAATGAATGGATCAAATAGAATCCCATAGTCTTCTCCCCATCTATTCCCGTAACAGAGTTGTTACCAGTCATTATGAATTTAATTACATGGAAAATTGTATGCATGCAACAGGAACTAAGGTGATAAGGTGGGCATGCATTATAATGGAACTGCAATAGTACTTACAGTATTAGTGATAGCCATGCTTTTATTGCAATGACTTTACACTGATTCTCCAAGAAAATCTAATAATAAACACTATGACTGATCATCAGATAAGATACATAGTGTAGCTGTAAAAACTCAATGGGAGATGAAAGATGTCAAATTGCTATTATCTATTTCACAATTTAATATTTGCTGTCTAACTCTCCCTGACAATATGATTTTTCATTTAAATGATTAATAACCAGCCCAATAAATCTCTGCACATCTATGTAATAATTATTCACTTAAATGATAGAAGTTGTACCTGATCCATTATGTCATTGACTTTATCTCGCTCACAGTCAAGAATCACCCGTCTTTCCTTTTTATTTTCCAGATCTTGAAAGAGGGAGCGATAGGCTTCATCCTTCCTTTCGTCTTTGATGTTTCCAACATTAATGGCTGTGACTTGCCACTTGTTTTCAGCAGCAGAATCCAGCACAGCTTGCAATACTGACAATCCTGGAAAAGGGTAGAGTAATAGGAGAATGTGTTCACCATCAGGGCTAATACACAGACATCTTCTAACTGGACTTCCTTAAATAAGGAATGTGAGTGCCCACTCCTTCCAGTAACCAGATGTATATGTGGAATCCTGTAGCTCAGCGGTTAGAGCACTTGCCTCGCAAGCGAGAGACCTGGGTTCGATTCCCGAAAGGGCGAAATCTTGGGAAGTTTACTTACTCCACATGCCTGATAATAATCCCGCAAGAAAAAAAACAATAATAATTTGGTAACTTCAATCTACGACTGTTTGTGGGATGCTGCTGTGCGTTAGTAGCTGCTGCATTTCGCCCACAAATATATAGTCAATTTACTTTACAGTTTATTCTGTTAAGCGCTTTGAGATGTCTAGAAGATGTGAAGATCACCATATCAAATGCAAAAATTATTATTATTTATTATATGACTAAGGACCATTGAAGTAAATTTTTACCCGCACACAAAATAAAAGTTCTGGGTAATTTTCTATTTTCTTTCAGGGTCTATTTTTTGCCTTGTACATCATTAGAAATTGAGTACAGTCAAGATGTGAAATGTGGGTTTTTAAGGAGGTTCAGTCCCAGCCTATGATCAAAGATTGATCAACAGTCAGAATCTGTTACACTGAGGAGCAGTCAGGGGCACAGGTGCAGGCCTGTGTTAGCTGAACAAAAATGGCAGGCAGGTTCAGAAGGTTTCCGAGCATCAGTTGTGTCACAGCAACCGCTGGAAACACTCGCAAGAGCAGTCACCACTGACTGGCCCACTTGCATCAGGAGGCGGAAATTACGTCAGTAACAACCTGATAACCTGGAAGCACTGATCAATGGCCATTTTTATAATAGGACCCATTACGATATGGGCACCGATTTTATGCACCTAAACCACTACAGTATAATGGGGTCCAACTGTGAAACAGAGACAATCTCATGTGAAACAGAGACAATGGCTCTAACCCCAGTACCCATCAGTTGATTCAAATAATCAATGGAGAATAAGCTATGATTCCATCCCCACTCTCTACTCTTGTGGGCTATATAACTACTCAATTGTAAAAATGTAATGGGGAGAGACAAAGGATGAACTCAAAAATAACTGCAAACTGCATGTCTGAATTTATGACCATGATTAGACTGAAGCAGTCTTCCAAATGAGTGAAAGAAAAAAATCACAATCATTTATGTATTATTATCCTAAATAAGTCCAGGTGTAACCTTTTTTCTGAATATATTTTACACTTCATAGCATTTATATAACCTCAAAATTATATGTATATATATTAACTACTTCACGATACCAACAGCTGCATGCAGTAAAATGGAGATGGTGTCCATTAGATATGTGGGTAGATCTTATACAATTATAAAACCAATGTGTAAATCATAACAGAACCCAAAGACATTAACTTCAGACCTGCATTACAAGGAAGTTATTTTTTATTCTATGTTTTCCCCCACAAAAGCTGGGAAAGAATGAAAATATCCATGGAAAGCAAAATTTGTTGTACAAGAAATGGCCCAGTGGTACAGATAATAGCAGAAAATAACAAGCTCACAACACCAAGGTCACACTCCCAACGTCTGAATTTACAGGCTTTTGGAGAATGTAGTGTTCTTGTCCAGTGTAGTCTGTCAATGTAGTGATCTTTGGAGAATTAGCCCCTTATCCCTCTATATATTGCAACGCTACTTGATTTGAAAAAAATACCAACTCTAAGTCATATAACTGAATGGGGAAATTAAAAACATTTGTCTCACATCACTTAAATCAAGTTGAAATCTGGTTTGACATTCATAACTTGTGGGTAATACTTTAACATTTTTATTCATCTAAATGATTACGGTACAGCAAAATAGTCCTGCACAACCATAATATAATTCTAAGGTAAAGTTAAATTGTATTGAAAATATAGGTACCTCTGTCGCTGTCATACAAGTAAGCAAACTTGGTCCATTGATAATACTCAATCAAACTCAGAAGAGCACCCTTGAGGTCTGGTCTCATCTGTATGACAAATTGGTGTAAGCCATCTGCAGGGAAGCTTGGGGTAATGAATGAAACGTGCAATGTCCCACAGAATGACGTAAGCGTGTTTACAGACTTCTTGTCATAAAATCCAAAAATGGCGTAGACACCTCTTGAAAACTGGGAACAGACTGAGAGAGAGAAAGAGAAACACTTGAATTATACACAATAAAATAAAATTATACTTATATAACCTTTCATGGCGGGAGGACGTCTCGAAGCACTAAATTATTTGAATTTGCCAAGTATATTTATGACATCAGACGAATTATAACAATAATAAGAATTCAACATCCTCATCCTCACCTACAAGGCCATTCACGGCCTTAATTTTAATTTTAATAGAGAGGCCTCCTACCTCTCCGACCTACTATCCTCCTACTTACCTGCTCATACCCTCCGTTCCTCTGGCTCCGCTCTGCTCCACACCCCCCGCCCAACCGCCCTACCATCGGTGGCCGGGCCTTCAGCCTCTCAGCCCCCAGGCTCTGGAACTCCATTCCCCCAGTGCCTTCGCCTTGCCTCCTCCCTTTCCTCCTTCAAGGCCGGTCTCAAGACCTTTCTCTTTGACCGTGCCTTCACCTCCCCTCTCGACTCTCTACCCCCTCCTCGCTCCCTCTCTTCCCTCCCCTCACCCTGACCATTTCCCCCCTGCTCGGGTCCTGACCCAACTGTCCAGCGCCTTGGGATGTCCTCCCGACGTGAAAGGCGCTCTATAAATGCAATCTTGTTGTTGTTGTTGTTGTTGTTGTTGTGTTTGACACAGTGCCCTTATGACATTTGAAGAATGTCTAAACACTGCATAGTATTTACAGTTAAGTGTAGTGACTGTGTATTTGGTAAATGTGGCAGACAATTTTCGCACAGCAATGTCCCATTCAATAGCCAAGAGATGAATGATCCATTGAACTGGAGGATTGTTGGCCATGAAACTAGGAGAAATACATTTCAAATAATGTTATGGGATTTTTAATGTCCACCTAAACGGGTAGATAGGACCTTGGCATAAAGTTTCATCTGAAGGATGGTATCTCCTTTCCTGCATTGTGGTGTCAGTCTCGACCAAAATCCCTGACACGCTCTGACTCAGATATAAGAGTATGATACCTGAGCCAGGCTGACAGGGATTTAATAAATGCCAGTGCAAACAATAACTTTAATATAGTGAACTAAAGAATGTATAATTATTATTAACTGCACTTCAACATTTCTCGTACTAACATTAGAATAATATTGCAAACTGCTAACCTTCTGAGCCCTGAGACTGCCAAGTCATTGTAACAATTCATACATAATGATATTTAATATCTCTTGTAGTATGTGAACATAGCAGCCAATTTGTGCGCAGCAATGTCCAACAAACAGCCATGAAGTGAATGACCAATTTATATGGAGATTTTAGATTCATTACCACATTACTTTCTTAAACATTATGACTTGGGCCAACTATCAATGAAGGCTGATAGATTACAATTTTGGACTCCACCCTTTCAATTCCGAATATGCATCAAGTAAGTCACTCAAGCAGTAAGCCAGACCTGAAGGTTGCAGAATTAATTTCTGAAGTGTGCTGACATAGCTTATCTCAGCCAGAGCAGCAGATAGGATGTTACAATGAGCCTCAGCGCCATTGAGTTTGGAAGGGGACAGTTATCAAGGATTTCTGCTCCTGACGATCTTTATTGATTTCAAGATCCTCTCACTTGTAACAGATCCCTTCACGTCCTGGCATCTCCCTACCTTTCTGACCTGATTTCTCCCCGCTCCACTACCCGCTGTCTCCGATCAGCGGGCTCTGGCCTCCTGTTTGTCTCTCGTCCTCTCCGCTCCACCATCAGCATCCGCACTTTCAGTCACTATGCCCGAAGCTTTGGAACTCTCTCCCCAAATCTATCTGCCCTGCCCCCTTCTTCCCCTCTTTTAGATCACAACTGAAGACCTTCCTCTTCAACTGTACTTACGGTTACCCCCTCCCTCGGCCTGGCTTGGCGTCAGGCTCCGCCACTGTTAAGCACTCTGAGCCTCTGCCCATATAAACATAAATGCAAGTTGTTGTTATCCATAAGTTCCTACTGGAATGTGCGTATGTGGACTTCAGGGGAGGACTTGCTCAGGCTCGACTGATGCTCTTCATAGTCAGAGCTCACTCTCAAAGCTCCCAAATGCATAATAGCCACTTGAGTGAAGTACCATACAGTATCCAATACACCAGAGAAGCTGTACTAAAAAAAAGGAAACATCTTCAGGAGAAGAGAAAATCAGAGGAGAAACATTGGCAGGAAATAACAACTGAAATGACTATTCTTGTTGCCAATTGTGAAGGAGAATGATTGTTCAGCTCACCTAACACAGTTCTGCTGTGCATCCCCCCGATCCTTCAATGTCCGAGCCTCAGTTGCTGTGCCTATGTGAAGAACACTTTATACCGTATATGCAAGTTGCTGCTGCTTTCAAAAGTGCATTGCATTAAACGCGCAGTGAGCAGAACAGGATGTGTCCAGAGTAACTGTTCACTCTGCTATCACTAAATATGTAGCCTAGAGCACCTCCAAACACACATTATACAAGGTGAACGCAATCCTCTGGGGAGAGCTTGCACAGTCCATCGAGACACACGGAAATATCCATATATATGAGGAAATCTCACTCGGTTTGGATATTTATAACCATTCTTCAGCATGGCGATGGGTTTGGTGTGTGACAGATATCCATCTGACTTTAAAAAAATCCTTGAAGCGCCTTGAAGGCCAAGAAGGGAGATATTTTGAAGCATAATCAAAACATTTTGGGTTCTAAATTTACAGTAAACGCCGGGCATCCTGGTCTCTGGATAGCCAGAATTTGTATATAGTCAGACCAGACTTGAAATAGAATTTTAAAAAAAATTCTGCAGGTTCTCGAGCATGTATACTCCCGCTGACTCACTCTCATAGCACACGTCCCCACCTCACTGTCCTTGCTGGACTTCAGTGGTCAGGGCTATCGACTTAGTTTGAAATCCGAATGTGAGCAGAAGGTAGCTTATAAACTATTGTCTGCTTGCAGAATTCAAACAATTTCAATGCCGGTACCAGCATTTTTCAGCATTGAAAAAGCCGGTAAATGCCAGTATCAACACTGTAATTACACTTAACCAGAAGCTACCCAGAGTAATGCACCCTTTTTGCTTAATTCCAAGGAGCAATAGGCACAGGCTGGCAAGAGCCAAGGCTTAGGGACCCCACAGTGTGCGCTTGGGGTATTGCTGGAGGTTAACCAACTAAACCACAGAGCTTATAATAATCCCTCCAAAACAAAACAATAATAAATTGGTCATTTTCAATCCACGACTGTTGGTGGGACACTGCTGTGCGCAATTGGCTGCCGCATTTCGCCCACAAATAGACCTTCAATTCACTTTATAGCATATTCTGTGAAGCGCTCTGAGACGTCGGGAAGACATGAAAAGCGCTATATCAAATGCAAGGATTATTATTATTATTATTATTATTGCCATTGAAAGCACTGTCTGTTAAGCTTCCCACTGTTTGTCTAACTAGGGCCTTGGCTTACAGAGTTACCAGGAGCTACATCGAAGAATCCCTGTCGCCAGTGTCTACCCCTTAAGTCCCAACAATTAGGCAGCAGTGCCTTACAACAACAACTTGCATTTATATAGCGCCCTTCCTGCGGGGTAGCGTCCCTGAGCGCTTGACCTTCGGACATCCACATGGGTCAGGAACTAGTCAACCAAGCCCAGGAGAGACAGTTGGCTTGATTCCAATATTCAGTTGCAAAGCATAATATCTTGGAAGCAGATCAGCTCCAATGAGACACTGCTTACCTTCCCTCAAGGAGGAATTATTTTAAAACATGCACACCGTTGTATTATTAGTCTCAGCACAAAGATGCCCTAAGAATGGTTGTGACTTGGGGTACAAATCAAACATTCATAATCCACCGTTAATTCTCTGATATGTTAATCTACTTCAGTGACAATCAACCCTGTTTTCAAAGTTTATTTGTTTTGCTAAATCCTTATTTGACTTGGGACTGTACTGAGGAGGCAATGCAACAATTCCATTTTCAAAAGCCTTCATCAGGGTAAGGAAGTCTCCAAATCAAACCACAGTATTGGTTCTTGAAACCTAAGGAATTGAAAAAGATCATTTGGATAAATATGCTCAACTCTGGTTCAGTGTTCTGCCTGATGTGATAGGCGCTGTTCTAATATATGTTGTTGTTGAATCCCATCTCTCCCCATAAGACATAATAACATCTGATAAGAAAGTTGTTGCTTCTTGAATCCGTTGAAAACTTCCGTTTTAATGGACTTCTTTGGCAATGTTTTAGATTTCTATTATCCTTTCTGTGAAATAATGCTGCGCAAATGTTCCTTTGCTCTTTTTTTAAAAAAAAGCTTGTTCAGATGGGTGTTTTCTTTAACACCCATCTGAAAGTCAGATGAGATTTAAGTTTCATGTCTCATCCAAAGGACAGCACTTCAAACAAGGCAGTGGGCTTCAATATTATACTGGAGTGTTAGCCTAGATTGTATAAGTTCAATGTCTCAATGTGGGGGTTGAATGAACAAGCTTCTGACCAGGATATGAGAGTGCTACCAGCTGAGTCAAGCTGATGCCTGTTAGTGGCCCAAAGTGCTAGAATCAGTGAAGACTACGAATTTAAAGCTGTGACCCTTTGATCTATGTTGTACAGTGATGTACCATGCAGTGCATTTACCCACTAGGAGATTTAAGGCTTGGTTTGGATACTCTTAAGCATGGGTTTCCGCAGCTGTCAGGCACCTGGCTGACCAAAAATAAAGTGAGATTTAAGGAGTTGTCCAATATATTTTTTGCACACCGGAAGTGCAAGGGGTAAATTTCTCCATTATAATGGAGTTCAGAAAGGCTGCTTGCATAAATGCAGTGTAAATGACAATTTGATCCCTCCCTAGAGCCTTCAAGCCTAACCTCACACCAAAATTCTCACAAGTTAGGGTGATGTTGCAAGCTGTTCCCTGCAGTACTCACTTCATATCTTGGGGTGCATTTTCCAGTGTCAAAGCACTATTTATGCCTCCGTTTTTCCAACAAGCAATCTCTTGTGACATAATGTAGCTAATATCTAGATCATAATCGGCACATTC